GGAAAAATGCATCGGGCTTATTGTGTGATAGAAAAGTCCCCCTCAAACTTAAGGGAAAATTCTATAAGATGGTGGTTAGACCTGCAATGCTTTATGGTGTCGAATGTTGGCCATTAAAAGAGAAGCATAATACTAAGTTAAGTGTTGCAGAGATGAGGATGCTTAGGTGGATGAGTGGCTTGACCATTAAAGATAGCATACGAAATGAGCATATACGTGAAAAGGTTGGAGTAGCTCCAGTGGAAGATAAGATTAGAGAGAGTCGCCTTAGATGGTTTGGTCACATTAAACGGAGGCCTTCCGATGACCCGGTTAGGAAAGTTGATGTATTAGATTTGACTTATGTTAAGAAAGGTAGAGGTAGACCTAAAAAGACTTGGTTAGAAAATATTAGAAATGATCTTTTTTTATTAGATTTAGATGAGAATTTGACTTTTAACCGGACACAATGGCGAAAAAGGATTCATGTAGCCGACCCCACGTAGTGGGACAAAGGCTTGATGTTGTTGTTGTTGTTGTTTCCATTTTTACCCTCACTTGAGGGACTAGATGCATGTAACCCCAAGGGGTAATTTGGTCTCTTGTTTTGTTCTTGTATGGGGGCCTATTTATAGTCATCTTTTCCCTCTTATGAGGTTAATGGATGATTATTAACGAAAATTTAGCTTTCTTATTCTTGATCTCTTTATGAGTTCTTAAGAGGTGAAACCCTAGGAGAGAGCCACGCATCACCCGTCAGCCACTGGTGGATTCCAAGACTCGCGGTTAGTATTCATAGTATTTTCTTATCCCTACTTCATTTTCCCTACATCCGACCACCTCTTCTTCCCCAAACATCTGCCGGCAACTTTAAGTCCTCAAGCCGCCAACCAGCTTCACCCGCCGAATCTTCCTCCCTCCGCCTCCCCTATTCACCACCGCCGGCCTTCCTACTCTCCATCTTCAAACCGCCACATCCAAAGCCCAAACCCTAGTCAGCCGCCGGCCTTTCCCCCCCCCCCAACCCCCCCAATGGATCCAATTTCGATTGTTTGCTTCTTTCCAAAATAGAGCATGAAGATTATGAGGGAAATCCAATTCAAAATCTGATCTCAAATTTAGATTTTGAATTTTTTCCTAAATCGACATAATCTATATTAGGAAAGTGTTCAATTCTTGGATCTAAATTTAAACTGAAATTAAGAGGAATATTTGGCCCATTAATCCCTCCTAATTTTAGACAAGATCATTTAGGAAACTCATCCAATCAATCCCTAATCCAAGCATGCCGCCGGCCCTACTTGCCCATCTTGCCTTTCTTTCCAATTCTCTTCTAAGGAAAAGATTGAAGACTTACCTAATTTAGATCATCTTAGATTTGGAAAGAATTCAAATTTCAAATTCAAATTTATTTGAATTAGAATACTTTCCTAAAATAAGATTAATCTAATTTAGATACTTTCCAAACTTCTCTAAATCTGAAGTAATTAGAGATTCTCCCCTAATTCTTCTTCCTTAATTAGTATTCTAAGTTTGGAAAGAAATCTTAAACTCCCCAATTAAATCCTCATGCATGGCCGGCCCACCTTCTCTTTCCAATCCAAATAAACCCCAAAATTCCCTCCCATTAATTCCCTATCCACTCCAATTATGGCTGCCACCCCCTCCTACCTAATTAAATTACTTCCTTAAACCCTCCAATCACGCCTCCCTCTCCGGCCCTAGAGATTCCTGCAAGCCGTTCACGAAATTCCAGCAAAGTGCCTTGCTGTCCAGCAGCCTTGGGAGTCACAATTTGCTGTCTTGAAACTCCTTACAACCTATAGCAGTTGTCCAAGGCTTCTCTAAGCCTTATAGTTTGCTGTCCAGATTTCTGGACAAATTCTATAAGCTGTCCAGAACTTTCCATTGTCAACACTGCTGTCCAGAACTCCAGAGATTGGGAAAACTGCTGTCCAGAAAATTCCTACGCCTCTACCTGCTGTCCAGCCTCCCAAGTCTGTCCAGCCTCCCAAGAGACTGACGTATGCTGTCCAGAGATGTTAGTTTGCTGTCCAAAGAATCCAACCCAAGTTAGCTTGTTGTCCACTCTCTCTCAAGCACTTAAACAACCATACCGGAGCTCTGTATCTTCTTTCTTTGGATAAACTCTCTCCGACCCATTTATCTTCGTAGTTGACTCTCAATTGTTGTCTTAGTAGATTCATGAAGATAGTGTCAATGTTCCTCCGCTAAAGCTTAGTAAGTTAGAGAGTTGAGAGAGGGAACCTTTGCATAGTGACTAATCTTATTGTTAGCATAGGGATTTACTTGAAACCCTTCCATGTATGCAACGTTAGATTAATTAACTAAATTAGGATCTTAACTCCTACGCATGTGATTTGGCCTAAACTTATTTTATCACCTTATTGTTTTATCTTAGCGTTTAAGTCAACATGAGTTTTATTTAATATTATTCTCTAAATATTAAGCGTGCAAATTCCTTAATCTAATCATCTTTGCATGTACGTTCTACATCACAGCCTCTCCGCTCCTTTTCATGACAAGGAGAATTTTAATGAGTTTAGGTTCCAGGATAGATTTTCAGAAGGCATATTGTGTTTTTAGATAAGACACTACCCAGAGATTTCGCCCTCATTTTGCGAGGACAGTATGATCTAAGTTATGGTTTCCTATAGGCGCAAGCCCCTATAGTTAACTACTCCTCCCGATAAATAGAAAGAAATTTTGATTAAGATTAATCGTGAGATAGGCACTGAGCACTCAGCGTATAGAAGCAGCAACTTTAGATATTTTAAAATTGAAATTTTGGAGATTTTTAATATTTGAAATTCATCACCATAAACTTAAAACAAGTGATGGGAGAATGATGATGGGCCCGATCAAAATCCTATGGTTCCTTCATCCCGGGCTATCATGGTCTCTGGTCTACTTAGTCAAAGGAGATAGTTAATCCAACCTAGCAAAAAGAATCTTGTCGGTAGCCATGTGTTGCTTCGTCCAAGAATATGTTATAGACCTGAGGTGAATATTTGCCTAAGTGGTGAATTTAGGTCAACCTTAGCTAACAAATGGCTATATATTTTATAGGATACACCCTATAATTCATTACTCAATGAGCTTTTATCCATTAGAAAACATACGTGCTTTGCTTGTGACCATAATACAGTGGTATCATTTTGTAATAAAATCACTCGATCAGAAAACACATGTCACGACTCTATTGGCGATGAATCAATTGAGAATGAATTGAAGTAAAACATTCACAAGACATCTACTCTTTTCGAGCTGAATTTATTCTTCAATTCATCATTCTCGCCAAACTGATGGGAAGCGTGGATGGATTTTAGTTTTAAGTTTTTTGTGATTAAATTTTCATTTAAATGTTTAGAATTTGATAAATATTAGATTTTGAAATTTAATAGGCTTTGAGGATTGACCCCTCTGGTTAAGATTCACTTTCAACATTACCATCATTGGGGTGACGTCAAAGTCATTTTAAATATTTATATTTTCATTAAGGTTCATGGGCATTTTGAAATGCAATGTCCCCTCTAGTTGATATCTTGTCAAGAAGGCCATCATCAGAGTAATGTTGAAATCACTTCCATCATATTTATATTTTTTTAGAAATTTTGGAGGGATCTTAAAAGTTTGGGATTCTTTCGATTGAGATTTTATGTCAACATGGTTATTGTCAGGAAGCTTGGGCATTTTTAGCAAATCTACGAAGCCTTCTTAGATCTTGCATTTAGGAAAAGATCGAAGCACATGCGGAGGATATTTTAGTATATCAAACCTATCGTATAGATGTTTGAATACTTTTAAAGAATCCGCGAATGCATTATAGGAGCTAAATATATAGATTGTGTGACCGCAAGTCACATTGATGCCTTCCCTAATGACCTCCTTTCATAAACTCATATTCATTGTCATCGGGAGCTTTAGGAAATTGGATAACAACAAAAGGGGTGTAGAGGAGAGGAAAAGCTGGGGGGATTGAGAGAAGGAAAAGTGGGGTTGGCAGGTGGACAACAGAGATGCAAGATCCCATGAGGAAGATAAGAGGTTAGGGTAATCATGCATTTTGAGAAGAGAAAAAGAGAGAGAAAGGCAGAGCGGACAAAGGGATTGGGAATAAGAGAATAGGGGAAGAGAGATAACAAGCAAGGGGCTGTGAGAAGTTTTAGGCAACAAAGGGGTTGGAAATAAGAGAATAGGGGAAGAGAGATAACAAGCAAGGGGTTGTGAGAAGTTTTAGGCATTTCATCTCTTTTTTGTGAGAGGGACAAAACTCCAAATGGCATAGAAAAGACTCCTTACGGCATGCCAAGTACAGAGCTTGGGATTTTAAAATATGACAATTACAAGGGATTTGATTTATAGGATTTTTTTAATTTTTAATAAAAATAATAAAAAATTAATTAACATGTATACTGACCTTTCTTCGCACATTTCAAATTTTCTATGATCACCACCATGCAAGTAGATTTTTTTTAATTTTTCACATGTGGTGATCTAAACAATATGGGCATATTTTATAGCTATTTTCGAAGTTCCAAACAAGTCAGCACAATACATTTTGCTAAATGAGAAAAGATTAAGTACTTTTGATAGAGGTCGAGACATTTTGAACCAAGTTTGCATAACTTCTCATCTGTCGTCCTCCATTTTCATTATATTTAATAGAATTCAGTCATGGAATGCATAAGGAGGTCAACACTCAACATTGCAATTAGTGCAAAGCTTGTGATGATTCCAGAGCATGCCGAACATGAAGTTAGAATCAAATACAAATGCATTCTTGAAGAAAGACCTTGAAACTTTAGCGTGAGACAAATAGTAGCTTTATTGGATCTATTTGTGCCGAACAAGAAGTTAGAATCAAATACAAATGCATTCTTGAAGAGAGACCTTGAAACTTTGGCGTGAGACAAATAGTAGCTTTATTGGATCTATGTGCAACTGAATTTTAAGAGTTCAAAATCAAAAGCTTAAACTCCAAAAGAAATTTAAATTACCTGAGCTGCAAGCTCCCAAGCAGCAAAATCTAGCAAGCCACCCAAGAGCCGTCTTCGGAATATAGGCAATGCCTCTTCACGCCTTCAATCAAGCATTGTTGAGTTTGAGTGGAGCAATGAGCATATAAGTTGATTGATGTGAATTTCAGGGAAGAATTTTTCCTCAGATCAAGCATACCTTAGGCGCAACTCACCCCTGCTGGATCCTCCAATCATAGAGAGCCATTCTGCACAATGAATTGTTGCCTCTACATCCTACAAAAAGAAAGGGGTTTGAATAAAATGTTCAGCACAAACCAATATATTTAAATTTTGTAGGTGAATGACTAAAACGTAGAATGAGTGCCTAGTAAAGAAAATGCTAAACCCATATCCCCCACTAACCACATCTACAAAAACCATAAGCACCTAAGCTGATATCTTCAAATAATATTTTAAGACATGATAACCTGGCATTAGTAATCAGAACACGGAATAAGGAGACGTGGTTTCATAATTAGAAAAGGTCTCTTTTAGTTTTTAAGAACAAATCTACCCAGTCAAGAACTGACCGCTGGTCTTCCAAGATTGGATTGTCTTTGTAGACAACCCCTAATCAGATCAATAATTTAACAGAAACAAAACTTACACGGATCGTTATCCACTCAATTTTCTATGATATAGTTACTCAAAAAGAGCTAACCATCCCACATATGTGAATTAATTATTTAATAGACCACTCATAAGCAACAATTGTCTTAGTAAATTCGTGTATTATATTTGCATAATATTCAAATGTATGAATTAATCAAAAATAGTACTTATAATACCCAAAATATTCGAAATAAGTGTAAGTATAAACTTTCTATGCATGTTAATTTATTTTCATTAAAATCTAAAAAAAAAATTCATTAAAATCTACTTTTAATTCCAAGCATTTTGACATATAGAAGCATATGTAAAATAAGAATCTGATTGTATATTGTATAGTTATTAAATGAATTACTGTTTATTTTTAGTAACAGTTAATTTAATTTTAAGTATTATTTAAATTAATTTAATTAGCATTTACTTAAATGTAATGTAATGAATTTTTTTATTGTTAATTACTGTAGCAGAAAATCCACTTAAACTTTCATGCAATGGCTGATTTCCTCTCCACTTACATCCTACGGCTAGGAATGAATTGGTAAATCAATAGTGGAAAAAGCATTAGGGAAGTTATAATAATATAATATAGGTAAAGCACAGAACTAGTAGGTATGAGCTTTTCCTTCAACTCCCTGCCATTTGGCTTCTGGCATCCGAAGGAGCAACATGCCGTGAGCTGAGGAGCAGTTGCTGCTGGACAGAGCTAATGTAGGCAGTTGTGGGGCAAATTTCAGCAAAACAAGGTAAGAGAAATTAGGTAGATATTGTAGTTAGTGGCTGAAATTTTTATTTGGCTAAAATAAAGTTATGTTTGCAGTTTCTGCTAAATGCTGAATTCAAGAAACAGTGAAGGAAAAATAGGTAAGGGGCTGCTGTAATTTGATGTTGAACTGTTTTAGTTTGTTGATGGGCTACTGTGTGTGGGAGCTACAGTTTTGGTCGCTGATTTCTGAGGTAATGAGATGTAGGAAAGAAGTTTAGTATTGTAGAAAGCTAAAGAAATTAGTAATTGTATTTTCTATGATAATGTGTGCTGAAATAGTAAGGACAATAGTAAAAACTGCTACTATAGTTGCTGAAATTAGTGTATATTGTTGCTGAAAAATGAATTTGTGAATGCTGAGTGTGTTGAAACCAGTTGTTGAATCCAGTAGGAAAAAGGAAAGAAGGAAAGATGGAGATTAGGAAGGAGAAAAGGAAAGATTGTGGGTTGCATGAGGAAGAGTACAATTGAGGTAATTCATAAGATATTCATATTATTGTTTTATCTATTTATAAGCATGTGTAAATAAAAAAATACATGTTTTAGGAGACGTACAAAAGGAGAAAAAAAAAATATGATCTAGAAGAATTAATTCTAAGTAAAATGTGATACCCAAACAATACATAGAAAATAGTAAAAAATTTATATATTTGTAAATTCATAATTGTTATATTTATTAGCATTTCTCATTTCAATTTATGCACATAATTGTGTTGATTCATTATTAAGGGACTATAATAACACGGATTATGATTGTTAAAATTGAATGATATTAAAAAAATGAAATAAATCATATATATGGGATAAGCCTGATGAACTAAAGGAGAAAGACCTGACGAAATAAGCCTACACTCTCAAAATTCCAAAAGTTGAGAATTCGGACCCAACCTTGAATGAGAGAGTAGCTCAAGTTCTACAAATTGAAAATTCATACCCAACCTTGAATTAGAAAGCTAAAAGGGTGCAAAAGCTTATACTCATCATATGACTTGTTTAAGGTGTGGAACAGTTAACCATTTATAAAGAAATGTTATGCATTTCTTATGATCAGTATGAAATTTCAATATGTTTTAAATTAATTGTTAACAATATTATTATTATTTCTTATATATTATTTGTATATTTTATTGAGTCCTAGCTCATAGTAGTGGTTGTACTGTATGAAAGGGAAAGAAGCCCGTAGAACATTATACAAAAAGGGACGACTGACCTTTTTGATGTACATACATTTTTTTGTGTACATAAAAGTCTAAGTGAAGGATGTACATAGACTTTTAGGGCATGTAAATAAATTTTTAAAAATTTTAGTAAAGCTCTGTATTTCTTTTGATTATATTGAAAATTTAATCAAGATATATTATATGTTTCATGTTGTTAAGTATAAAGTTTGATATATTAGGAAAGTCTAAATATATAGAAGTAACTCAAAATGGGTGTTCGTAAGAAGGGGGCTGTTTAGATTTTTCTTCTGTGTCATACTCCAAGTTGACCGTAAGGGGAGCCAAAATGGGGTGTGAGAGAAATTTATATTAGAGCTAAATCACCTCCTCTAAATCCTTGGCCTCATAGGGTGTAATTGCAAACACTCTAGCTTTCATAGGTTAATTATCTTTAACATCTGATGCTTCTCCTTTTAACTGAATCGGTGATTTTCCTTGTAATATTGGCATTTCTTGAAATTGAGTTTTTCATGCCTAATTACCATCAAGAAATCTCCTAAGTTGTGCCTGTTCAAGATACCCCTGACATCCCTAAGGCCTAGCATCAGTTCTTCTCTTAAGGGCAATCCACCTTACGATGACCTAACTCTTCCATTTTATTGTGATTTGGCTCTGATGCTAATTTTTGTCACGCCCCATTTTGGCCCACCTATGGTCATCCTGGAGTATTAGCAGAGAAGCAAAAAATCTAAATAGACCCCTAACTAACACCTATTCTAAGCTACTAAACAAAAGTAATATTAGACTCTCCTAACATATTAAGTTTTATACTTAACAACATTAAGCATGTAATATACCTCAATTAAACTTCAAATCTAATCAAAAAAATATAGAGCTATACTAAAACTTTTAAAATTTTATTTAGATACTCCAAAAGTTTTTGAACAGCCACCACTTGAATCTCTATGTACACCTAAAATGTATGTACACCAAAAAAATAGTCACTCCTTTTTGTCAAATAACTACAAGCTCATTTTTCTTTCCTGCAGTACAACAACTACTAATGAGCTAGTACTCAAAGAAATATACAATCAATGTATAAAAAATAACAATAACATTGTTAACAATTAATTTAGAATATATTTAAATTTGATACTTATCATAAGAAATGCATAATATTATTTTCTATCCTGATAAATGTTCAACACCTTTAAATAAGTCATATGATGGCTATAAGCTTTTGCACCCTTTCATCTTTGCAATTCAAGGTTGGGTCTGAATTCCCAATATTTAGAGTTGAAGTTGATCTATCATTTAAGGTTGGGTCTAAATTATCAACTTTTAAAATTTTGAGAGTGTAGGCTTGCCTCATCAGGTATTTCGCCTTTATTTGTGTGGGTATATCCCCTATATATGATTTATTTCATATTTCCAATACCATTCAGTTTTAGCAATCATAAATTGTGCTATTATAGTCACTAATTAATGAATCAACAATAAATTGAAATTTGAATGTTAACATAAACATAACAATTATGAATTTATAAATATATAAATTTTTATTATTTTCTAATCATAATTTGGGTATCTCACCTCACTTGGAATTCATTCTTATAGGTCCTATTTTTTTTTTCTTGTACACCACCTCAAAAAGTTTCTCCTCATTCAACAATAACAATTTCATTCTTTCAAAACTTCTTCTCAACCACCTTCCCTTTCCTTTTTCCCTTCCCTACAATTTTCTACAGCCCTTTCCTTCTAAATTCAGCAAACACTACAACACCCTTACCTAATTTCAACCATTCTACGTCAACTCTTATCAAATTTCAGCAACATTACCGCAGTTCTTATCTGTTTCAGCTACCTGAATTAAGCAATTTGGAAATTAAATTTTCTTACTTATTTCCACAAATATAGATTTATGATTTCAGCTACTATTTTCAGCAAACAACAGCATCACAACAGTATCAATTATGTTCTTTCCCTCTCCCAAACCTTTCGCTTTTCTTACCTTACTTTTTTTTCTGAATTTTCCTGGCAGCCCGCAGCAGCCCTTCGGTCTCCTAGCTTCTGCTCGCACATGGCTTCAGACTTCAGAGGATCGGGCAGTGGAAGGAAAGAAATGGAATGTTAAAGTTTCATAGTGCTTTAACTTAACCTATATAATATAATAATACTATAATGCATTCTCCACTAAAGCCCTTTCAGACTCTCCTAGCTGTAGGATAAGATTTTAGAGTGATTAGTCAATGGCTCAATGCATGCATATTTAAATGGCTACAGTAACCAGTAAATATATTTAAATGAAGATGTACCTAAAAAATGAATATAGATAAATATAGTATTAGGTTTATATTTTAAAAAATCTTCAATATATCAAATGTATCAAAATTAAAATTAAAAGTTAATGAAAGAAATTTGACATTTTCCATATATGTGAGAAAATAAAGAATGATTTTAGTGGAAAATGTTCATGCTTACATTTGGCATTAATATGTTAGAAGAGTCTAAATATATTACTTTTAACTAATCTGATTCTCATAGAAGTAGTTTGTCATGCCGGTCCAGCCTGGACCGGCCCAACCTGGACCGGCCCAACCTGGACCGGCCCAGCCGGTCCGAGTCTTCTCCAGGCGGAAACGGAACAGGGGGGAGACGGAAGAGGGAAAGGGCCAAGGGGTGGGGTCCACTTGCAATTCAAACATGGTTTAAGTGGTTTTTGGAGGGAGAAGGAAGGGTAGAGAAGTCCTTTTGCTTTTATTTTGAATTAGATTGTATTAATAGGGAGTTATGAGGGGATTAGGGTTTCATCTGGATTTTGAAAAGAGTTTTGTGTTCTAGGTTTTCTTGCTTGGGCTCTTGGCGTTGCCGGAGATTGTTGGAGAGTTGTTCTTCCTCTCGAATTGAAGAACATTGTATCTTGCTTTGGTTTTGATCATCTACTAAGGGAATACAATTGTTTGCTATTGTTTTTCCAAAGTTTTCTCCCTTTTCTTTCAGCTTTTCCATTGTTGGTGGCTGTTTTCTATTGAAAACAGTGAAATATTGGTGAATTGGCGAAGATCCGATAGGAATCGCTTGGAATATTCAAGTGGTACCTATCATAGTTCCGAATGGTTATTAGTAAGAAGGGGCTTGTTTAAATTTTCCTTCTCTATTATACTTCAAGTTGACCGTAAAAAGGGCAAAAATGGGCAAAAATGGGGTGTGATAGTACTACTCTACATTAACTGTTAAAAGTCGTAAAAAAGCACAACTTTTAACCTTCAAAATTATAATACATATATTTTATGCATTATACTACCACACGAAAAATACTCCTTTATCTATCACATTATGGCACATCAAGAATAATCTTTTAACTAAGTTCAATTAAATCGTTCAAATATTAATAGAATAATCGATATTTTTCATTCTGAATTCAAAAGCAAAATCCATTTAATGCACTGTAAGTACCATCACATGTTTTACTAAGAAACTGGTAACTAGGCTGTAAACATGTCAATTTCTGAATGAAAAAAATAAAAAGATAATTAGCAAGTCGAGTAAATCTGAATAAAACCATAATTACTTCACCCAAATCTGAAATGAACAATGTTCTGAATCACAACAACTAACCAAGTTCGAATTATGTAGTTCAAAACTTTTTTAATATCATTAAATCCTACCTTAAAAAACATAGAACTAACAAAGATAATATTACCAATTGTTTGAAGAAAGAAATGCAAATTAAATTTCTTACATAAATTGCAATATATCTATATACAATTAGGTAATAGAAATCAGTAGAACCAAAGCATAAGCCTAAGATTAATAAGGAAAAACAAGAAATGATGTACTCCTATCTTCAATCTTACAGCCATATGTCCTCTTTTATATTCGATAACTTTCCAATACTATAAACTCATAAATCTTGCTACTGGCTTACATTAAAGTTTAAATCAGGTATCTGCCGGTGATAATATGTGGTAAATGAAACCCATTAAAACTTAGCACATTTTCTTTATTATTTTAGAAAATTTTCAAAACTGGAAAGTTAATCTTGATTCAGCAAGATACAGAATCAAAGCTAGCGATATGAACTTCCACATGCTTACAAGAATGTGAATCAAGACGTGCAAAGCTACAAAAATTTAAAATTAAAAGAACTTAAGATACACACTACACGCCAGATTAGCAATGAATATTCAAAAAAGTTAACAGTCATTTCAGTGTACGCATGAGAAGTTTCTGAACACGCTCCTGACTAACCCCACAAATTGAACATATTCCTCACTCTTTTAACAGTCCAACAACTTATGAGTGCTTCAGTTACAAATGAAATGCCTTATTATATCAATCTGAATATAATATGACAACATACATGTATCAAATATGAAATCCTTCAAAAAAATATTATTCTTGATTTAATTTTCACAAATCAAGAACCTTCATAATCACTGAGATTTCTGATATAACTAAGGTTTCTCAGCAATGAAACAATGAAATCAAATAAAAGATGATATAAAAGAAAATTTTACCTTCCATCCATCTTTTTTTCTCATGGAATGTTCGAGTATGATAATCAGAAAGTTGTGAATAAGGTCTTCAATCTCTCCAACACTTGCATCATTCAATTCTTTAGTGGAAACCATCTAAAGGAACAAGGGACAAAAGGAAACGTAATACAAAAGCTTTGAGCAAAATCAATTTAAGAAACACATTAAACTGCCCAGGATGAAGATAAATGTAATTACCATATAAAAGACTAGAACAAGTTTCTTAAAAGCAATAAAGGCTCTCTTAAATTCATGAAGATGAAGCAAAACGGTCAACGTTGGAACCCATGGCTTCATACCAAGGGAGAAAATCCATATCTCATAGACTAATGCCACTAAAGGAAATTAAGATTACACAGATTCATAACAAGGAAAACAATCAAGATCAGTTGATAGAAAATATATATATGCATATATGTAAAGTAAGAAATTTATTTTTTGTGGATGTATAGCTATAGATATTTTTTTATGTTTTGATGAAGATTAGTTTCCTTTATTTTCTTCTTAGATCAATCTGTATATTATCATGTATGGATTACTTATTTACTTTGAATGAATTAGAAAAATTTTCATACTCTCCATATGGCATTAAAGCCCTGGACTTTTTTTCGCCAATCTCTTCTTGCATCTAAACTTTCATAGTTATCTTCCTTTGCGTCTTGGCAAAAGCCCCCATAACTCAATGTGAAGCCCACGTTGTCTTGTTGCTAGTCGTCAATGATATCTACTCCACAATCTCTTCACTATGTCAGTACTTGTCTACAATCTCAATTTTGTGATTATTCGCGAACCTGATGTCTATATCCACTTAACAACTTTAACTTCTTTGACCGCTCGAGCAACCACACAAAATATCCACTCAAAAGACGTGGCTCTTACAATCACCAATCTGTTCTAGCAGCTCCTCATCACGATCAAAATATGTGATATCTTCTATCAATGTAGGCATTCCCTCTATCGCAACATTCATTGTTGCTGGCATCCTCTATAAGCAACTCTTTTCAGAAATCACTGTTCTTCAAACAACCTTAATCATTATTATTACTTCCGTCCTCATCGTCACAAGACCCACCAGAAAGCAACCTTCATCATTGTTGCAACTGTAACCTTCTAAAACATAAGAAAAATGTCAAAGCATTATTGGAGACTCCACAGACATGAGAATGATAAATTGACAACTCTACTAAAGAGTCTTAGAAACCTTCACATACTAATTCATTATGAAACTTTTTCAACTCTTCGGTAATGGACTCAAAGCTACTGATCATGACTCATAAAAAATTTTGTGCGTATACACTTTGTCCAAGGAATTGCCACAACAAGTAGGTCTATAACCACCGTAGCCAATATAGGAGATGTTTAGCTAAATCCCTCATTTATGCTAAAAGACATTCTACATGATCCAAAATTGTCCAGTGCTCTTGCTTCAATAAAGAAACTTACTAAAGATTTTTATAGCAATATCATCTTTTATCCAATTCAATGTATATTTTAAGATCAAATTTAGGGAAATGTAATTTGGCGTGCTAAGGAACAAAACAAACTTTATTATCTCAGGACAAAATAATTTGGATAGTAATAATAATAAATTCTCCTCGTCATTTCTTTTTAGTGCTCTTTATCTAATAAATACAAAATATAGCTTATAACCATAGATTATAACACCCATCCTTAGAACTCGTATGTAAGGGACTTGATATTGAATCCTTTCAATGTGATGTGTGTGAATTTGCAACACAAAACATGCAGCATTTTGCATTAGTAATAAAAGAAGTTTAGTTCAATTTCCATAATTCATAGTTAAATTTTGGGTCCTATTATTCCCAATATTTTAAGACATGTTAGTTTGAATTATTTAAAGATGATTGTGTCAGTCTCTTGGTTTATTCTATTAAAAATAAATCTATTGTCAGATTTATTCTTTGCAAATGTCATCATTAGGAATAAAATTAGCTTGCCATAAAATTCAAACAATTAAGGTTCAATGAATCTGATACGCCTTGGAGAAAAAACAGCAAACACACGATGGAAATTACAACAAAAATATGAATATAAATGGCGGATTTTTTATTATAATTTCAAAAAAAAAACATACAGGCGATCTACACTTCGAGAGGTAGATCAACTCTCCTAAACCATAGATTAAAAAGGAAGACAAAGGCGTACGCATTGAGGCGTGATTTATAAGTATATACACCGAGCGACGAGAGTCATATAAGAATCGAGTATAGGATTAGGATAACATAACTTCTTCGTGTGAGAACTGAAAGGCGAACTCCACCGACTTCAACGGCCACGGTTCGGTCAAGTTCGACGTAGCTGGAGGCAAGCAAAGGTAATGATTTATTTCCTTTCTACCTCCATCTTTCTTCCCGTCATTTGCTTCATTGCTTGCTTCTTCTCTTACTTCCCGTAATCAAAGGGTTCATTTTCCACGACTAGGAAATGGTATTTCTTCCTGTCATTTGCTTCATCTTCGCTTGATTGTCAACTTCAACAGCCACCTTCTTCACGACTTAGACTTACATCTCCACAAAGGTAACGATTTATTTCCGCTTGCTTCCTCTTCACCTGCTTCCTGTGATCAAAGGCTTCCTTTTGCTACGGTTGTAATGTAGCTTCTCGTTGACTTCAACAGCAATATACTTGTAGACTTCGACATACCTCTCCGCGAAGGTAACGATTTATTTCCATAATTATCTTTCATTGTTTATTTTTTCTTCGCCACTTTTTAAACTATTACGACATAGTAATTTCGTTTTTGTTGTTTAATTTTTTATATTTAATTAAGATTTTTTAAAACTTAAGAAAGGCTCTTTCTACTTGATTTTGTTGTCATGGGGCAAAGTTGAATGAAATCATTTAATTAATTTAAACTTATTTGTTTGATTCAATTAAATCGAGTCATATAATGAGGCTAAGTTGAGAATTGACACTCGTGCTTCACATTTTATCAAAAAATTAAGTAAAGTTCTCAGTCATTTTATGAATTAACCAAACCGTTTTGTATGGATATATGGACAGACTCATTTCTAAAAAGGATTATCTCAAAATGAATGATCAACTTGACGATTTTCAATTTAAGAAATGAATGTTTTGATTTAGAGCAGTACAAGTATGCTACAAAATACGATCTACCGTTATGTTTATAGTTTGTATATTTATAATTTTAAATTTTAATGTTTATGTCCAAGTCTTCTAATTCAATCTATATTCATAATATATTTTTTTATTTTCATGTAGAACGTTGGTGGGCTCAATTTGGAGATGATGTTCCTGAATTAAAAGCTTTTGTAGTTAAAATTCTTAACCTAACATGTTCGACTTCTGCATGTGAACGCAATTAGCGCACATTCAATCAAATTCATACAAAGAGAAGAAATTAATTGGTTGCATATTGAATGAACAAAGTAGTATATGTTATATTTAACACAAAACTGAATGATTGACATCTCAAATTATAAAAGCAAGGAAACTGTGATAATAAATTTGACCCTTTGCTTATTAATGATTTACAATCTGATGATGAATGGGTTGCTCTTAAGAATACTGATGTTCATGAAGTTGAACCTGAATGAGAAACTCATGTCAATGAAAATAATGAAGCATCCAATATAAATATTGAAATGTCTACTGAATTGGGGTTATCTTTCAACTCCCAAGTATATAAAAGAAAGAAACAAACAAAGTGTGATTGGAGCTTCAAAAAAATTCAAAGGTATTCTTAAATATAATGAATTATTTTTTATATTATTATTGCTTCATTCTAGAACTAATGAAATATTAACTGCTATATGAGATAAGAAAAAAAATATTATAGATAAAGAAGAATTTGAGGATGACTTTGATATAAATTATGATGATTCTTCTGAAGACAATCAAAGTGATGATGAGCATGCATTGGATCTTGATCCTAAGTGTGTGTTTTATTTTTAAGTGAATTTATTTTGAATCTTATGTTCCAGAAATATTATCTTAGAATAAATCATCAAGTTCATAATTGACTTAATATTATGTCATTTTTTGTCATTATTTATAAATTTAAATTACTTATTTTTATAGTTTTGAGCCTTACGCCTCGAGCTTACGCCTCGCCTCGCTTAGACAAAACGTCTCGATTCCCGATTTCTAGTTTTTAAAACCTTGTCCCAAACAACTTAGACATCGCTAGGAAGCCCTCACAAAAAAAAAAACTATAGCAACTCTCCCATAAAATTCTCCATGCAAACATACCATAAACCCTACTACTTATAGCAAATAATAAAACAACAAATTTCAAAATAGCCCTCCCCCAATTCCCTCTCAAATCAGCCCCAAAATCAGACCTTTTTAATTAGGAAATATCTCATAATTAATTCCCTCTAAATCAGCCCCCAAATCTGCCCTTTTTAATTAAGGAACATCTCCTAATTAATCAGCACCCAAATCTACCCCTTTTAATTAAGAAACATCTCTTAATTAATACCCTCCAAATTAACTCTTCATCCGATTTTCCATAGTAAAACTTCTCCATGCCAAATTTGAATTGCTCTATTTTGCCTTTCAGAGCATGCACTTTCTTGGCTGTCATCTCTCTAAAAAAACCTCATTCTGATACCAATTTGATACGCTTTGGAGAAGAAACAGCAAATACAATGGAAAAAACTGCATAAATATGAATAGAAATGGCGGATTTTTTATTATAACTTCAATAAAAAAGAAAGATACAAGCGATCTACAATTCGAGAGGTAGATCAACTCTCTCAAACAACCTAGACGCCTCAAGTAAGCCCTCACGAAAAAAACTACAGCAACTCTCACATAAAATTCTACATACAAACATAAACTTAAACCCTAATACTTATAGCAAACAATAAAACAACAAATTCCAAAATAGCCCTCCCCCAATTCCCTCTCAAATTAGCCCCCAAATCATCCCTCTCCAATTAGGAAATATCTTCTAATTAATCCCCTTCAATTCAGCCCCCAAATCTGACATTTTTAATTAGGAAACATCACCTAAATAATCCCCTACAAATCAGCCCCCAAATTTGCTTTTCTTAATTAGGAAACATCTCATAATTAATCCCCTCCAAATAAGCACTCCATCCAATTTC